TGAAATGGGAAAACATTACGCCCAATATAAAAAGCCTTGTTGCACGTTAGACCTCTCAGTTTAAACGTGTGCAACAGATTTGTGAATAGATGATTATTTCTTGCTTTTTTAGTAATATCTTTATCATGCTTCAAGTGCAACCTATGTGATGTAAAGTACCTGTACGATCCTTAACATAGGTTTTCCCACAACTGACAAAAAAGTAAAGCGCTCAACCAATCGGCGTGTGAGACTGTTGCTCATCCAATCAAAATGCTACAACAAAATTTGTTGAACATCATTGACGTCACAGCTAGCCTTCCTTTTTATTTCGACATTATTTTTACACAATTTATGGCAGGGGAGCAAGGCAACCAGCTTCAAGGTATTTCTGTACTTCGTATATTCAAAATATTCAGGGTTCTTAAGTTTGCTCGTTATAGTGAAAAGCTGCAAGATATGTCTAAATCTCTCAAGAAGTCTTCCAGCAAGCTGTTTTTTTCTCTGACGATCGTCTTATTCTCGACCATTGTTTTCTACATGGAGAAAACTGATTATGAAAATACTACTTTTGAAAGTATTCTCAGCGCAATGTGGTATACCGTCACCATCACCACTACTGGGTGAGTATTTGTATTACCCTGGAGGGAGGGGGTACTTTGCATTGTGGGACACTATAGGGGAGAGGGGTTTGCTTGGCATCATGGGACACCATAGGGAAGAGGTACTTTTAATCATGGTTGGCATCATGGGATACCAGAGTACCTCTAGAGAAGAGGCATACACTTTGCATTGTTGGACACCTTGATACCCCTGTTACTTGGCATCATGAGATAGCATATTAATTTTTGAGGAGAGGAGTACTTTGCATTAAAGGATACTGTATACCCTTAGGAGAGGAGGTACCTTGCATCATAGAAAAACACAATGAACCGGAGGAGGAGTGAGTGGCCAAAGTGCTTCTTGCCCCTGGGAGTAGGGGTAAGGGCTATATTTGGCATCATAAGTTTTAGCGACCTTTACTGGAATCTATTTTTTTATAATAATGAAAAGGCGAAACTAATGCGTATCTCATTTTTAATTGGTTATCTAGTTACGGTAACATGGTTCCAATTACTGTGGTCGGCAAGATCGTGTTGGAATCTGCTGCCTTTTGGGGGCTCTCGTCATCTCATTACCAGTCCCCGTAATACAAGCAAAGGTAGGTGTAAAGTTTATCGAGATCCACGACACCAAGACCACGTGAATATCACGTGGATAATCAAGCATATAATTTATATGGATATTAAGATTTCTTTGTTGTTGTTGTTGTAGGCAAAAAAATTAACAAGAAAGATAGTATGATATTATTTTTAAAAATTTGGTCTTCACGTGACCATGCAAAGCCTCTGTTATCCAGGATCATCGTAACAAGAGACAAAAAGACCAGAGATAAAATACGAGTAATATTAATTATCTCCATAAAAAATGCTGAAGCACTCTTTCAGTTTCTTTTATGTTCTTTCGCAATTCAATCCCATGAAACTTTGCGATCAAAACTACCAATCTATTTCTAGATCCGGTGAATATAATTTAACATGATCTTCTCTTCGGTACCAGAACATACGTGATGACACTTGCTTTATTCTAATCTTTCTTTCAAAGCAAACAACAAAGATCTCAAACGATGGCTGTACACTCAAGTTTGTACAGCTGAACAAACTTACTACGATCTGCAGTCTATCGTTGAAAAAAAAAAGTGTTAGCTAAAGAAAACAAGCTCGTTTTAATAATTTTTTTATGACATCTAATGCCAAGAACGTACGTGGACTTAAGAATTGATGTGATGTGTTGATGTGATGTTTTTACAAGAGGCTGTGTTTCTAAGACAACGCTCGTCAAAACTCATCCCCTTGGTCACTCCACACCGGCCACTGACATCAAAATCAGTATCACCCTTTTGACTACTACAACGCATTAATTAATATAACAGCTAATATTAATCAATATTAATTAAAAAGAATACTAAAAGTGATCATTTTTCGTCAGTCATCAACTCGCTTGTTCAAATGTTGAGAGCTCAAAAGCGAAATTTAGAGAATTCTGAAAACAAAAAATATAGACTTGTTGTTAAATCTACCTTGGTTATAAATGAGATATCAAAGACAAGGTAAAATGTATGCTTAACGATAAGTGGCTTCCGTCAACTATAGGCGGATTGAAGTGCATGAACGAATTTTAAAACAAAGTAATTATCGTATACTAAATGAATACTTAAGAGGAGGGCTAAGCAGCAGCAACACAAAATAACCCCAGTGCGAAAATTCGTATTTTTTTTAACTTAGAAAACAAATCATAGCCATCAAAAACCGCGTATATTCTAGAATAGAACACCACTTTATGAAATGTTTGAGAATCGGCTGCGGGGTTAAAGTGCTTATAAGCCTTTACACAATATTTTCAGAATTGATTCTTCAAATAGTGGATAGTTGATTGTGAAAATAATTCGTCATTTGAATGTCGGGTCTTCGAGATACGAAAGTTTATATTTCCAATATGTTAATGGCTATGACGTAACATAAGGGGTTTGAGTTATTTTGTGGCAACTTTTAATATTGAACGCTGGACATTTTTTGAAAACAAATTTGTAAGAACCTCTACGTGAGTCACGAGTAAAAGGGTGATGCTTTTAAAATACTGTATTCCAGAACGAGTGCAGTGTTGTATATCAAATGATCCCTTATGTAACGTCATAGTCATTAACATATTGGGAATATAAACCTTCGTATCTCGAAGACCCGACATTCAAATGACGAAATATTTTCACAATCAACTATCCACTGTCTAAAGAATCAATTCTGAAAATATTGTGCAAAGGCTTTTAAGCACTTTAAATGAATTCAAATTCTTATTGTTCTTAACCATTCTGTGCCCCTTGTAAACAAGCTGCGACGACCTAGCAAAAGTAGGGCAAATAGACTTAGCGTCAAAATCGTAATCATAAATCTGAATCTGAATAACGGGAGACAGAGCTCTCGAGTCACTTACCGTTCTTAGACGAAAAAAAAAAAATTTTTTTTTTGCCAAACGCCCACTAAAATACATCAAAATCCATTAAACCCAAACTAACATGACATTACCAAGTTGTCCTGACATGAAACGTTAACGTCATTCTTCATTGCTTATAGTCTGATACTGAGCTAGCTGAAGATTATAAAGCTTTTAGTGGAGTCTTTAACCTCCATCGATGATGAATTAATCTATCGTTTAGAAGATAAATAAGACTCTCGTTAACTTTTGAAGTCGGTTT